GACCCCGTACAGGGTTTCCGAGGCTGTAAATCTTTACGGGAGCAGAAAGCCTCATCTTTCTCCCGCTATTGCTTTGCCTTACCTCCAGTATACTTGAATATAATGGAATTATTTTATAATGAGTTGCTAGTAATCCTGCTCTGAAAAGCCTAGAGATGTTCTGTCAATGTGTGTTTGTAGTGATTTAGCAAATAAAAAAAGAATGCTTTGAATTCATTAGAGTGTAAAGGAAATAAACAGTTCACCCATCAATCTTTACTTTTGCTTATCATTGTAATATTCTTGGTATTGGTGTAGTCTCTTGAGTGGTGCAAATAGTTAAGTGCTTGGCTGATAATCGAAAACTTAGTGGTCCAAGTCTACCCAGAGACTCTTCCACAAAAAAAAAAAAAAAAAAAAAAAAATGCAGCGTGGTAGTTAACCTATAAAAAATCAGCCATTATAAACCCCTATTTATGAAGCCCTTATGAAGCACTATTTTACTCTGATTGCTGGACTGCAAAGTCAATTTCAACCTGACTTTGCAGTCCAGAGTGACTTTAACCCACAGCGCCACTCCTGGGCTCCATGCATATTGTCTAATAAGGTTCTTACAGAGTAGCTACTGGTGCAGGGGCTTGTTCTGGTCCCCAGCTCAAATAAGTGTTGGTTCTCTGTGCTTTCTCCAGTCACATTAGAGAGTAGCTGAAACCATCCCAACAAAATCCAAAGCTGTCAAGTTGGTTCTGACTCATAGGGACCCTGTAGGACAGAGTAGAGCTGCCTAATGGGGTGTCCTAATATGTATATTTTTTACTGCAGCAGACTGCCTCATCTTTCTACTGAGGAGTAGCTGGTAGGGTCATACTGCAGACCTTTCAGTTAGCAGCCCAACACAGAGCCACCAGGGCTCCTTAAAGTGTCTGATCCCACTACCCACTGGCATCGAGTCAATTCGGACTCATAGTGATCCTTTATAGGATGATATCTGAAATACTTAATAAATCTGTTTATTCATAAACCAGGACATATTTTTTGAGAATCTTCTATGTTTTAGCTAGATGCAGTAACTATAGCAAACATACATGAGTTGTTTTTTTAGTCTTTTATTGTGAATTGAGTGATAGTTTGCAGGGAAGAGCATCAGTTTTGTACTCATCGTATTTCATTTCATTGCAATAATTATAATCCCCTCCTCACATCACCATTCAACAGTATTTGCTTTTATTCCTGCCTCCCAGCTGCCAGCACCCAACCTTTCTCTTTCCGTGAGTCCTCAGCTGCTCTCTCTTTCTATGTCATCACCTCTGCCTCTATCTCTGGTGTCACTGCTTCTCTGGATAGGGTCCCACATTCTGCTCATGCTCTTTTCCATTGATAGTCCTAGGGTCCTTTGTTCCTGGACTATAAGATTAACTACTCCCCCCTTTAAAACATACATGAGTTTTATTTGAAAAAAAAAAAATTTTTTTTTTACATGTAATTGTTGTTGTTAATGCCGTTGAGTTGGTTTTGATTCATAGTGACCTTGTATAGGACTTATGAGAAGCAGCTAGTGAGTTTGAACTTCTGACCTTATGCTTAGCAGTTCATTGCTTATCCTGCAGCACCACATCAGGACTTCTATATAGTTAGAATTTAGTAAAAGTAAATTTTACGTTGCTCTTTTTGTGTTATTAAATTATCATTTTTTCTTTCCCAAAAGATTAATAAATATGCTTCCCTTTTTATGAAATAATTCAGTGATCCCTTTATTTATGTATTATAGCCGTATGTTCTCAGCATCAGAAGTCACTCTCTCTTACATTCCCTCCCACAACTAAACGGCTTTGGGCAAAAGCATGCAACCTTTTGTTACTAAGTTTCTGTGAAGTGAGGCCAGAAAAGTTTTTTTTTAAATAATTTTTTCTTTTTTTTATTGTGAACTGAGTGATAGTTTACGTGGGAGAACATTGGATTTACACCATTGTTTCATTGCAGTGATTACAATGCCCTCTGTACATCATCATTCAACAGCATTTGTTTCCATTCCCTCTGTTTTTTGTTTTGTTTTGTTTGGCGGGTGGGGTGGGGTGGTGGTTGAGGAGATGTACACAAAAACACTCAGAGATATGTAATAATTTTAACAACCAAAGGGCACATTCTGCAAGAAGCCAGAAAGGTGTAAAAATACTTTGACCAAAATGGTATAGGAGTTAGGTCATGGCTCAGTCTGTTCTGACTGTCTTGTTTGAATAACATCGTGGATTGTTAAATAAGGGATGTGATGAATATTTTCTTGTACTTCACTACAATAATTGATCTATAGTGTATGCGTAGATTAATGAACTTGTTTCCCCCTAATATGATATAGAGAACACCCAGTTTAGGAGTGCTTTCCTGCTCAGAAATCAGTCTCCTTGTGGGTTTTTTACTGGGCTGTATTAGACTCCTGTCATTTTCTTGGACTTGCTACCTCCTTTACTTATTCTGAAATTTTCTGTTTTTAAAGTGTTTTATATAAAATTGGAAGCAATTTCAAACTGAAATTTCAAAACCGAAGATTTGCAGGTACAGTACAAATGCCTTCTGTAGTCTGAAATATTAGAGAGTAAGTTGCCAACACAGTGCTCCACCACCCTCACATACAACAAGGACATTCTTTTACATAACAATAACCTGGTCATTCAGATTAGGAAATTAGCATTGGTGCTCTACCATCATCTAATCTTCACACGCCAACTGTGAACACTAGTCAACTGGAAAAAAAGAAAATAGGAGTACTGTAGTATACATAAAAGTACATGATAATTCACAGTTGAAAGGAAGTATAAGAGTGTAGGATCAGAGAAACATACATACTTAGAATAAAGTGAATGACAACTTAAGAAGCAGATGAGTTTGTTCATGGTAATGGTTCTGCTGTCCGTATGTGTGCTTAGGGATGCCAGTGTGTATTCACACTCAGTTTGATGTTTATATGTCTGTTCTTTTTTTCTCCAGTTGACCTTTAGTTGATGCTGCTTCATGGTCACCCCATATGTATCAGAGTAGCACTGTACTCCATAGTGTTTTCAGTGGCCAACTTTTTGGAAGTAATGTCACTTGACCTTCTGAGGTACCGCTGGGTGGACTCAAATGTCCAAACTTGGTTGGCAGCCGAGTGTGTTTGTTAATCATTTGCACCACTGGATAATGCTAACATTTTACTTTGCAGTTGACTCTGGAACTTTTCTTAGAGTCAGCCTTTTTGATGTCTTGATGGTCTACTTCTTGGTGGAGCTTCTGAGTTCAGTTGCTCAATACCATACCAAGTATTTCAGTACATCAAGAGACTTCTTCAGTGCAAGTAACTTTCAGCTGCCCACTGCACCTTACAGATGGTCTTTCATATCTAGCCTAAAAGTGCTTAGCTGAAGAGTGAAAGAACTTATTCTCAAGATCAAAAGACCTACTTTTAGCTTTCATTTTATTCCCAAGAAAAGAGTCTCAAATGAAGTTATTCATATGATTTTTCTTTGATTTGTTAGAAGTAGCAGTGTCCAGACTGTCCAAAGAAGAACATTAACAAATTTGTGGTATGGAGACAACACAATCTTGCTTGCTGAAAGTGTAGGGGACTTGAAGCACTTACTGATGAAGGTCAAAGACTACATCCTTCAGTATGACATCAAAGACTACATCCTTCAGTATGGATTACGCTTCAATGTATGGAAGACAAAAATCCCCACAACTGGACTAATAGACAGCATCATGATAAATAAGAAAAAATAAAGGATTTCATTTTATTTGGATCCACAATCACCAACCAAAGAAGGAGCAGTCAAGAAATCAAATGACTTATTGCATTGGGCAAATCTGTTTGCAAAAAGATCTCTTTAAAGTGTTAAAGAGCAAAGATGTTACTTTGAGAACTAAGGTGTGCCTGACCCAAGCCATGTTATTTTCTCATATTACGTATGAAAGATGGAGCATGAATAAGGAAGACTGGAGAAGAGTTGATGGCAGAGAATATTATGCTGGCAGAGAATATTAAATACACCATGAACTACCAAAAGAACAGATTTGCCTTAGAAGAAGTACATCTAGAATGCTCCTTAGAAGCAGGGTTGAGGAGAATTCCTTTTATGTTCTTTGAACCTCCACTCCCTGGAGAAATACAATGAAGTGGAGAGTGAGCAAAGCAGAGGAAGATTCTCAGCAAGGTGATTGACACATTGACTGTGAATGAAGGACTCAAACATAGTGACGATAGCGGATGGCACAGAACCGGGCAGTGTTTTGTCTTGTGATGTAGAGGGTTGCTATGAGTTGAATCTGACTCGTTGTCACCTAACAGCAACAGCAGCAGTTGTCCAAGTGATATTTTGATTTAGCATTGTAATTATGAAATACAGTCCTAAACTGTAGTTACGGACAGGCTTTTAATAGAAAAAATAAAAGGCTCATGAACAAGGGTAGTTCTTTGAGATTTTCCTTTAAATAAAACACAAAAAAGTTACCTGTGAATGTGCATGCATATGTAAATATTGACTAGGTTATAAAGTTTGCTTAAAATTAAATTTTAAGAAAAGATTCATACAGCCTACCACCCTATCAAAATAAGACCAGAGTTCTTTATTGTTTATATGTGTTTATATAACATATAAAAGACTTTTGTACTAAAATAGTATTAAAATATTATTTTACATATATATGTATATATCCTTAGGCTCTTTCAGACCAATTTGAAGATAAGACTACATCTGTATTGGAACGTCTGAAAATTTTTTATTGCTGTCAAGTACCACCTCATTGGGCCATCCAGGTAATTTTTGTTGGTTTTGTAATTCTATATGGAAAATACCCAGCACTGGAAAAAAGAAATGTATTATAAAAGAATAATTTTAAGTTTAAGTGTGAATTGTGAGAAGTTTTAATGAAAAAAATTAGCTGGGGATTGTCAGGTTTACTTCAAATTGCTGTTTTGATTTCACTTCAAATTGCTGTTTTGATTAAGGGTATAACAGGCTTTTAAGAATTTTTAAATAATTCTTAAATATTAGAATAAAATAAACTTAATGTTGTTGTTGTTAAGGGCCATCGAGTGGGTTCCGACCTATATATATAGTGACCCAGTATAGGGTTACCAAGGAGCCACTGGTGAGCTTGAATTGCCAACCTTGTGGTACAAACCAACTTTGCAGTCCAGCACATTAACCTACAGTGGCACACCAGGATTCCTTAAATTGAATAATAGGAGAACCTTAAAAGTTTTTATTTTGAAAATTTTTATATTTAAAAAGCACTTTAAGGACTTTCTACGAGAAAATGAGCTTTTTAACCAAATTGTTTATAAAGAGTAACAGAAAGCATTTATTAGACACTATCTGTCTATCTATCTATCTAATCGTTCGAGTCCTGGTGTGGCTCTGTGGGTTAATGCTCCAGACTGCAAAGCCGTTTGAACTGCAAGGTCGGCGGTTCAAGCTCACCAGAAGCTCCTCAGAAACCCTATACAGGATGGCTATGAGTCGGAACTGACTCAACACTTGACAACCCTGATTTGTAACATTTTTGGCTTAATTTAGATATCTGGTCCAGTTTTAGTTTATAGACAAGAAAACTAAGGTATAGTGCTTTTTAAAAATAAACTTCTAACTTTGAATTGAGTGATGGTAAGCAACATTGATCATCAGCCTTACTTTCAAACAAACCAATCGTACATTTTGTTTCATCTCAATGATTACAATCCCCTCCCTGCAACAACAGTTTTCCTGCTTCCTCCCGGTGCCTTCCCTTTTACATCTTATGTTTCACAAATGGACAAAGCAAAAATACGTGATATAGACTTAGAAGACAAAATCTATAGATTCATTTAAATGTCCTAAGGGCACATTTTACACGGCAGCCTCTGGCTGTAACCACCAGGCACACAGCCTTTTTCAGTCCATGGGCCTGGAGTCCTCAGCTGTTCTCTCTCTCTGTTCTATCGCCTCTGCCCCCGTTTCTGTTGTCACCACTTTTCTGGGTAAGGATCTCACACTCCAATCCTGCTCTTCCTTCTTGATGGTCATGGGGTCTTCTGTTTCTGAAATGAAAGATGAACTTACTCCCCCCTTTTAGTTACACATCTTCTACATTTACAGTAATGATAATCCTGATAACACTCACAATCAAATCATAAAATTGTATCACCATCATCCCACAGTCCCTTTCATCAAATCCATCTGGAAAAGAGGAAAACTATTCAGTGGGAAATCCACCTTTCCTGCCTCATTCTTAAACTAAGCACACTCATGAAAACTTGTAAATCAGCCACTTTTTGCTTTTATAGCCCTCCCCCCTCCGCATTTTTGATAGCCAATGTCTAATTTGCCCATACCTATCAACCCAGTGCATTGAGGAAATAAGCTTGATCCTTGATAATGACGAATCCTTCCATTTCAGTTGGAATTTTGAGCAACTACATCCATAAGCAGAGGTCCAGTTTATCAAATTGTAGCAATTTACACTTGCTCCCTGTATCAAATTTCTTTATCTTCATCTGGTGGAGTTCTGTACAAGGCAGGTCAAATAGGTAACATCTACAAGTTTGAGAGTTCTTGCATACCTCCCCACAATTTAGATGAGCTGGCCGCTACACTCCTAACTCTTGCCCCCCATTGGTTAGGTCAGTGCCCATGGGCTCGGGAGTTCACATGTCTCCCTGAAATTCCGACTAGTCAGCCCTTCCTGTTCTCTCTTTCATCTCAAGGGCAATGGGCATGATTGGGACATGGCCAAACTCAGTCTATGTCTTCATTGCTGCCTTTCCTCCACTTCCACTTACAAATATGTGTAGTGCTCTTAATTCTAGTTTGCTGAGATTGGTCACACAACTGTTAATAAACAGGGTCTCTGGCTTCCTGAGTCTTAGTCCAGTTAACCCTTTTTCTTTAAACTCTTTATTGGGTTATAGGTATACCTTCTAATAACTAACTGTTATTGTACAGTGAATATGATCTTGCATTTTGCTCTGCATTTCACACACATTATCTTATTATTTTTTAACATCTTCGTGAAGTAGTGTCATTTTATAGACGAAGAAGCTAAGGCACAGAGAGATTAGATAGAGTGGTACTGTAGGATATGCACTAAACTGCTAACTGTAAGATCTGTGATTCAAACCCATAGGCTTGCTATGAGTCCTGGTGTAGCACTGTGGGATAAAGCACTGGACCTTAAGGTCGGTTTGAACCATAATGTTGGTGGTTCAGACTTACCAGCTGCTCCTTGGAAACTTGACACAGGGTCTCTATGAATCTGAACTGACTCCATGGCACTTAGCAACAACAACAACATGAGTGGAACAACAATAGAGGTTCCTAGATGATTTAGTAATTATTACCATGATAATCAGCTTCTTCTTCTCTCGTCTTATGGACTGTGCACATGAGTGTTGTTGTTGTTGCTGTTAGGTGCCATCAAGTTCATTTAGACTTACCCCAGTCCTAAATGATAGTAGAACTGCCCCACTGGGCTTCCTAAGGTGCAGTCTTTACAGGTAGGGTGATGTGGGATAAAGCACTGAACCACAAGGTTGATTTGAACCTTAAGGTCAATGGTTCAAATTCACCAGCCTCTCCTTGGAAACTCTATACAGGGTTGCTATAAGTCAGAACCAAGTCGATGGCACTTAACAACAACAACAGTCTTTACAGGAGCAGATTGCTGAATCTTTTCTCCCTGAGAGTCGATGGGTGGGTTCTAACCACCAGCCTTTAGGTTAGCAACAGAGTGTGACTTAGAATTAGAAATGCCAGCTCACCTTTTAGTGGCTCAGATTTCCCCCATTATGAGATGCCTTAGGGTAGGTTCTGTTTTTTAAGTCGAAGGGAAGTTGCAAATTGTAATTCACTTTATAGATTGAAGAAGTTTCAATAAAACCTAAACAAAAAAAATTGATATATCATCCCAAATGGAGCTTTGCTGGCACAGTGGTTAAAGCACACAATTGTAAACTAATAAGACAGTGGTTCCAACCCAGCAGCCACTCTGCAGGAGAGAGATGAGGCAGTCTGCTTCCCTAAAGATTTACAGCCTTTAGGGAAAACCCATGGGTCAGCTCTACTTTTGTCTTATAAGGTCACTATGGGTCTGGATCAACTCAGTGGGTTTTTATCAGTCTCCAAAGGAGTAGCTTTTTCATCAACATTTTGTTAACAGCTGGAATTTGTTGGCATGCTTTTGACCCACCCTGCTCTGTAAAATTTTTTAAGTGCTTTGTATTATGTGGTTTGTGATGGATAAACATCTCAGACTCTGAGCTGTTATTATAACACAACATGTGTCTGCTGAGGGTGTAACTTTTAATGTGTGTCTGAACAGAAGCATTAGAAAACTGAGATTCTGCTCAAACAGAATTAGACTAAATGTTTGTTTTATCTGCCTATGAAACTGTGGTTTTTAGGCTCCTTGAGCAGTTCAATAAAGATTTTTTTACTTAAGTTAATAAATCACCTTTTTTTTTTTTTGGCTGCTGGGGGGCATTGTAGGGAGTAACCATATCTTTGTATTAGTTCAGCGATCAAGAAAAAATAGCAGTCTAGTTTAGAAATAATGTTTACTACTAACTTGCCTTGGAGTCCTGGTGTGGTGCTGTGGGTTAACACGCTGCACTGCAAAGTCGGTTTAAATCACAGGTTGGCAGTTTCAACTGGGGAACCCTATATGAGGTCACTATGGGTCGGAACTGACTTGATGGTATTTAACAACAACAAAACTAGCCATATCATGTTGGATGCTACCACATTGCTTCATTTGTTAAATGAAAAGATTCAACTACTTACTACGTGAACAGTCAGATCTAATCCAGCTCTCACAGTCTGTTCAGTAAATGTCCAATTATATGTTCTAAAATTCTCCACTTCTCCAGTATCTCATGGAGTACAAAAATATTATCCTACCCTCCTCTCCTTATTGGTTTGAATGCTTTGTTAACTTATAATTTGCAGCTATCTTTCATTTGCCCCCACCGCAAATCTTACATAATCAGTTTCCTAACTAATTAAATATGTACTAAATCTCAAATGAGCAGCAAAATTGCAATTAAGAAAAACCAACACAGGTCTCATTAATATTAATGCTATAACTTATTCAAACAGCTCACCTACATTTTCACCTTTCATATATGTGTTTATATATGCACACACATATGTATATGTATATGTATATGTATATGAGGGGGTGTATATATGTGTACACACACACACATATATATTGTTGTTATTTTGTGTTGTTGAGTGAATTCTCACTCATAGCGACCCTGCATAGGGTTCCCAAGGAGCAGCTGGTGGGTTTGAACCCACAGCGCCACACCAGAACTCCATATATATCAAACTCTGTCTAGAAAGGACCCTTTGTAAACCACAGTGTGTTTATTTTTTAATAAATTTATTGAAACTTTTCTGGTTTCTTTTTTTCTGGCAAAGACTGGGAATTTGCTAGAATATTATTAAAATAAATCTACTTTGACCTTAGTAAGGCGTCAGCATTCTCTGATCAAAACACATAGTCCACAACTATATGTATGACTTCTGGTATGGCACTGTAAGATCAGCACTGGTTGTGAACCACAAGGTCTGCAGTTCAAACATTTGAGCTGCTCTTTGGAAACCCTGTCCAGGGTTGCTGAGTCGGAACTGACTCCACGACACCTAACAACAGTATGTATGTATATATATTGTCCTGATGTGGCACTATAGGATAAGCACTGGACCACATGGTCAGTTTGAACAACAGGATTGGCAGTTGAAACTCACCAGCTCCTTCTTGAAAACCCTATATATGGTTGCTATGAGTAGGAACTGACTCAGTGACATTTAACAAAAACATATGTGTATATATGGGGTCCTGGTGTGGTATAAAATAAGCACTGGCTGTTCAAACCCACCAACTGCACCTTGGAAACCCTATACTGGGTTGCAATGGGTCGGAACCGACTCGAAGGCACTTAACAACAACATTGACTGTTCAGAGTTCTCTTTTGTGAATTTATTGGTTCTCATGTTTACAAATCAGTGATTGTCATATATAGAATCTGTAGATAAAAAAGAAATAGTGATTTTGTTACATTTTTATGAATTCTTACAAAAAAAAGTTGATATATTGAGTAACTTGAACTGCTTCTATATTGTCTTATTTTCTTATTTCCCATTGTTGTTGTTGTTGTTGTTGTTATGTGCCGTGGAGTCGGTTCCCACTCATAGTGACCCTGTAAAGAGTTTCTGAGGCTATAAATCTTTACGGGAGCAGAAAGCCTCCTCTTTCTCCCGCGGAACAGCTAGCAGTTTTGAACTGCTGACCTTATGGTTCACAGCCCGATTCTTAACCACTATGCTACCAGAGCTCCTTCTTATTCCCTATAGAAATTAGGTATTTATATAAGAACAGTCCCTAAAAAGAGGCAGATCAAATGGAATATTTTTCTGACTTAAACAGCTATCTTTCTTTACATTAAAAAAAAATAATAATATTTTAACTTGATTTTTATAGCGTCAACTTGCAAGTTTACTCTTTGAATTGGGATGTATCAGTTCAGCCCTTCAAATATATGAGAAGCTAGAGATGTGGGAAGATGTCGTCATTTGCTTTGAAAGAATCGGGCAGCATGGGAAGGTACGTGATAGTTCCCTTAAGGATCACTTTATAACTTGTTTGCTTTCTAAGCTCATTTTTCCAATAAAACAACAACAACAAACAAAACCAGTTGCCATCAATTCAATTCTGACTCCTAGTGATCCTGTGGGTGCAGAGTAGTACTGTGCTCCATAAGGTCTTCAAGATTACAACTTAAAACAAATTTCCAGGCCTTTTTCTGAGACTCCTCAGAGTGGGTTTGAAGCACCAACCTTTCAGTTTTAGCTGAGTACTTAATCACTCATACCACCGATTGACTCCTATTTCTGCCAGTTTTTCACTTGTAGATTTTTTTCTTTCCCCCACATTTTCCTTAGAATCTTTTCAGTGTTTTCTGATGGTTATAAGATACATGGCTGCTAACTGAAAAGTGAGGGGCTCAAATGTACCCAGAAGTGCCTCAGAAGAAAAGTTTGGTGATGTCCCTCTGAAAACTCAGCAGTTAAACAGCACTACTCTGGTATACATGGGGTCTCCATGAGTCAAAATGGACTGGATACCAGTTGTTTTTAAAGATTATTTTATGTGTAGATACATATGTAATCTATAAAAGAGGAAAGCATATCAAAATTGGAATGTGTCTTATTAGATATTTGACATAAAGAATGACACCGTAACTGAAAGGCAGAAACCATCCAAATGTCCATCAGTGGATGAATAAATAAACAAATTGTGGTATATACTTGCAATGGAAGATATCTCAGCAGAAAGAGAAATGAAATACTGATAGGTGCTTCAATGTGGTTTAACCCTGAACTTCAAAAACGCTACACTAAGTGCAGGAAGAAGTCCTGGTGGGGCTCTGTAGGATAAGCACTTGACTGCAAGGTCGGCAATTCAAACTCACCAGCTGCTTCTCAGAAACTGTATACAGGATTGCTATGTGTCAGAACCGACTAGAAGGCACCTGACAAAAATAACAGGTGAAGGAAGAAAGACAAAGAGGGCATATATTGTATGATTCCATTTATATGAAATATCCAGACTAGGTAAACTTGTAGAGACGGAAAGCAGATTGCTGGTTACTAGAGGCTTTAGGGGAAGGGGATTGGGGAGTAACTGTGGGGTGATGAAAATGCTTTGGACTAGGTGGAAGTAATGGTTTTATAACATTGTGAATGTATTAAATGCCACCTTAAAATAGCTGATTTTATGTTACGTGACTTTCACCTCCCTTAAAAAAAAGAACAAATAATAAAGGCCTTGAAGACAGTGCTGGTTTTGATCTCTTCCTCTGCAGGACAACTTCAAAGTGAAATATTAGGAATGATTTCAAGCTTCACTGGGTTGCCTGATGATCAGAAGCTGTGGATCTAAAGGGAGTTATCTAGGAAAGGGAGCAGTCGGGCAGGCCTGTAGGAGAAAATCTACAGGGTGTGGCAACCCTTGTGGGGCAAAAGACTTCTCAAGTGTGCAATGCACATTAATTCCACCCTCAGATTGGGTCAAAAGAAAAATGTTGCAATATTTGCATCTGTTATTAATTGTTGTTTTTCCCCATATGAACAGAATAAAAAATTGTAAAACCAAATAAGGGGCCCCTGAGTTTTAAGTAGCCATTAAAACTTACACGTTGAAATCATATGTTAATTTTGGATTGAATTTTCAAATGGCTGAATTTCTATTATAAATATAGTATAGAAATGGAGGAAAGTCCAAAATTGGATTACTTGTAGCTACCTTTTTCCATTTTTATACAAAGGCACAGAGGTACAAGTATACATGTGTCTGTTTCTTAAATACCTTCCTAATCATGTTTATTTTAGATTAATAATACAAATTTATAATACTGTTACTACATAGTTAATGGTAGTGAAAATCTTTAAATTGTATTGACTTAGGGAGAAAGATGAGGCTTTCTACTCCCGTAAGGATTTACACCCTCGGAAACCCTGTACAGGGTCGCTATGGGTCGGAACCGACTCGACGGCACTTAACAACAACAACAACAAGGAGACAACAGTGTGTGAGGAAAATTTTACTGTACATGAGTAGAGAATGGAAATATTTAAACCTGGGAGAGAATTCCATAATTCTGCATTTCAGCTCCCTCCTTTTCCACATCAGTAAGGGAGTCGCTTTAGATTTACCAAAGATGCAAAACTGGCTGTTGATTATTTGTTTATGAGGCAACATGGCATAGTGATTAAAGGCTTAGCCTCTATAATTAGACTTACTAGTACTGACCTTGCTACTTACTGTTGTTGTTGTTAGTGCCGTCAAGTAGGTTCTTACCCTTAGTGACCCTGTATAGGGTTTCCAAGGAGTGGCTGGTGAGCTTGAAGCGCTGACCTTGTGGCTCAAACCAACATTGCAGTCCAGAATATCAACCCACAGAGCTACACCAATACTCCTATAGTGCTTGGTAATAATCTTGGGCAAGCAAATTAACCTACTTTGTCTTTATTAAGGAGCCCTGGTGGCACTGTACATTAGGTGTTTGATTGCTTACTACAAGGTCGGTGATCAAACCCGCTATAGCCACTGTGGTGGAGAAGAATGAGGCTTTCTGCTCCCCAAAGAGTCACGGTTTGGAAACTCTGTACAGGGTCTGTATACGTCTGAATTGACTTAGTAGCAGTCGATTTTGGTGCCTCCATTTCCTCCTATTCTTGTGAGGTCATGAATGTAAAGCATATAGAATGGTGCTTATTTCATACTGCCACATAAGTGTTACTGCTAAGTAAGGCAGAGATTTTACAGGTTAACATCTCAGAAATTGCAATGTATTCAACAATCCATGATGGACATTTGAATGGTTTTTACCTTTTAGTCTTGTATGTGAATTTGTATTAGTAAAGTAAACATTTGTTTTGGGGGAAATTACCACAATTCTACTTACTTGTATTTAAAAATAACAATGAAATACTTTATGAAAGCCAAGAAGGAAAGATACCCCAGAGTTGATGAAGTTAATATTTTACACTGAACTCCAAACCATTGCTGTTAAGTCGATTCTGACTCACAGGGACCCAGTAGGACAGAGTGGAACTGCCCCGTAGAGTTTCCAAGGCTGCAGATCTCTATGGGAGCAGATGACCACATCTTTCTCATTTTGTACTGAGAAGTGTAAAACAGAATTGCCTTTGAAAACAGCAAAAATGGCCATGTTTTTCTGAATACATCTTTAAAAATGAAAGTTAAGAGAGGCTGGTATGATTCATCCAAGGTATTATGTCATAGTTAAAAGCTTTTTTGGTTGTTGTTAAGAGTTCATCTTACAATTGATGGCATCTCAAATTCGACGAAATATAATATGTTTCTTCTGAGAAGTCCTTAAGATCAGGGACTTTGATGCCCATTGTCTGGCTCTAAAGTTTATGCAGATGTTTGTTGAACAGAAGAGTGAATGAATGGGTGATCTAGTTTCTGTTGCATCATTCCTCTTCACTGTGTGAGTCTTTTACAAAGGCAAATAAAGAAATAAGTAGATGAAAGCTGTGTAAAAATATGTCTGGTGGGTGGCACAGCCTTTGAGTGTTCATCTGCTAACTGAAAGGTCAGGTACACCTAGTATATCTGGAGAAAGATGGTCTACTTCCATAAAGATTGTAGTTGTTGTTAAGTGCCCTTCGGACTCACAGTGATCCTGTATAGGGTTTCCGAGGAGCAGCTGGTGGGTTTGAGCCACCAACTGACCTTGCGATCCGATGTTTATCCTACAGTACCACACCAGGATTCCATAAGCATTAATATCCAAGAAAACAATTCTGCTCTGTCACACGGGATTGCTGTGTGAGTTGGGATTGACTATTGGCACTCGACAACAATATTGTGCATGTTTTAAAATAGTAAGTGTATTTATTTTAGAAAATATGGAAAGTAGAGAAGAAAAATACCTTATTGAACTAGTTACGGTATTGTAATTAAAAAGATTGTCCATGACTTAATAAGAATTGCATTTTGTTATATTCATGTTCCTAATTATTATAAAAAATATACATATTTTAATTTTTAGAAATGTACAGTTGCTTACATTTTGTTTTAGATCTTTTGTGAGGTACAACTAGACATCTTCAAAAATCTTGATTTAAAAAGTTGCTTTGAGCTTTTAATTTGCCACATAAGAGACCTTACCTTACCTGTTTTTCTTATGCTGTATTTGTATATCAGTTTAACTGTGGACCTAAGAAGTTTTGCCTTAAGTTGGAAGCAAATGTTTTCTTTCTTGAACAGCTGAGATTCTTTTAGCATTTGGTCATTGGCCAGCAGTTGTCACCACATTTTGATTTAACTGGAAGTTTGTGAAACTAGTATCCTTGCATTTAATTTCATAGTGGCATAATTTATTTTTTAAAGGCACATTTGGATAAATGCCCAGTTCTAATTATTGTGTTTTGGTGTTCATGTGTGTATCCCACTATTGCAGGGTCTCAGGCTTTCCAATTTAGAAAATAACTGCAGAAATTCTTGTTATTTAATGACCATTGGTAAAAGAGCTAGTATTAATTTTACCCAACTTTGGGATCAGAATTGAGTCTCATCTGTTAGGATTTAAATTTTGAAAATTATCTTGTCCACTTTTAGCTTCTCTCCAAGCCTGAGTTAGTATAAGATGCTCTAGGAGGATGGAGGTACAGGACAGGGACTCTTGTTTCATAGGAAACAAGATTATTTTTTATTATAAGGAGCCCTGGTGGTGTAGTGGTTACACATTGGGCTGCCAACCGCAGAGTTAGCAGTTCAGATCTACCAGCCACTCCAAAGGAGAAGTATGAGACTACTTAATCTCATAAAGATTTACAGTCTCAGGAATGCTATACAAGGTCACTGTGAATCAGAACTGACTTGATGGCCCATAACCACTACCACTACCACCTTCTCTTATGCTACTTTGCAGATCAGTGTAGCTTCTTGGACTCTAAAACCGTTTTCTTTTGAGTTGCAAGTAAATGTTTTATTTCTAAAACACCTGAGATTCTTTCAGCAGTTATCATGAATTTTTCTTTCTAGGTGTGTTTTTTTCTCGCCTTTTAAGA